TGTTATTAAAGTCACACACCATGGGAAATTACATCACCAGCAGACCAAAAAGTGCGACAGACACTGCTCTTGGGTATTGTTCATCTGCTGTGAGTTACTACAGTAAAACTCCTCTACCCATTCAGCAAAAACAAACTGAAGACTCAGCCATAAAGACGTAATTGAGCAATCTTTATCAATGTTAGGTACAGTTCTGCATTGCCAGTACAGTGAATTCAGCTTTCCTAGAGAGTGGAGCTCTCCTAGCAGCAGTGATGTAAGCAGTCTGTTGCTCTTGCATCTTTTTCCACTGAAAAATCTTTGATTGAACAGAATTACTTTTCTAGCTCAGGGATGACACCGGGACTTCCTTCACTGGGAAATGGCCAAACATGCCACAGAAACTTACCCTCAGGTCTTTGATCTCTTCGTGCAGTTTGATTTTCTCAAAGAAAGACTGGAAAAAGTCACTTCTCTCTACATGGCGCGGAGCCACACACAAGGCATCAATATCAGCTCCTGAAAGAAACAGTTACTTTTAGCAGTGTAATCTGCATTGCCCAGTAGGTGAAATGGTTGATGACTTCAAAAACAATCTGACAGGTTCACTGAACAAAGCTGCTGCATTACGGGCTCAAGAGAGTTTGTGTGGTAAAACATCATGGATACATGACAAGTAAAGCAGCTAAAGTGAAGCGCAGCAACCTTTTTTTCCTGTCCAACTGATAAAGCCTGGCTCTGCTTTGTATGGTCACAGCCTATAAAAATCTTATGGGTTTGGATATTTTTCAAAAAACCCAACACAGAGCTGTTTTTTCTAGACACTGGTGACCTCCACTGAACCCTGTAAAGAGGCATGCAAAAATGATAAGAATGTCAGGTATTTGTTTGTAGTATCAGACGTGGATGTAAATTGTTTTTATCTGCTGACCTAAACTCATCCAGGGTTCCCACATATATATACTAATGAATTTTTAAAGCTTTTCGAAAAACCTTTCCATAATATTGTCCACTACTTTGGGTGGTTTAAAATGGGTAGGCCAATAGCAAAACATCCATTAACTGTTGAACATCCAGGCTTTTCAAAAGCAAACTGATAGCACCTGCTAACTTAACTCACTCAGTAGACATTCCCCCTGTCAACTAGCTGCATACTAATGCCCATGTCCAATAGACCAGAAAGCCACATACAGGGGCCACAAGGCCACTCCCCTTTTTAGTGGAAAGAACCAAAGATCCTAGAGATGTCAATGCAATATGACATGCTTGGATTATAATTTTGACAAGTGTATTTGCATTTAATTCTTAGTAAACCTTTGTTTGTATGGCTGGATATTGATTATCTGGACACTGATACATGCTCAGGTGTCCAAATCATGATATGTAACATCAGACTAAGCACTGTCTGTAAATAACCAACCTGTTAATAGCCAACTGTTTGATTAGGCTGAGATTTAGTTCAAGATGACAGTCTGATTCTGCTTTACTGTGTGACTTCACTGCAGCAGCCTCCTACTCAAGCTAGCTCTCCATCAGTAGTAACTGTCCCAGCATCATTTGGCCATTTACCACACTGACAGTGAATATTCACACGTCTTATGTGCCTCATCTCTCAGTGTGAAAACCTTGGTTAACCCACTACACAACAGCTTTCTGCAATTTTCTTGTTTCTCTCCTCATGTGACAGTGTGGAACTTCCCCAAAAAGGGGTGCAGCCTTGGTGATGATGTGATGCCTGTCTGGCCATAGCGTAACACATAATGCTGGTTACGTTTCAACAGTCACGCAGTGCAGGACTAGATTTTAAATGTGTACAAGGAACATGCTTTGCTCAGTTAAAGACATGTTTTGGGATTTTAATGACCATATTTCAAACAATATATATTCAAGAATTTTCCAAACCATTTCAAGGCCTAGAAAAGAGTTTTCCCTAATTTCATTACTGTGGGAACCCTGTATATATTTTTTCTACAAATGTGAGTGCATCTTTAACATTTACTGTGAAGGATATATTTATATTCTACAATGTAGGAAAAATGATGAAATGCTGAACAAATGTTTGGGGGTACATAATTTGGAAATGGGATTAATTACTTTAGCACAGCAACTTTTCATGTGTTTGAATTTGTTACTTCATAAAAATGAACACAATCATGAAAATGTTCAACTGATTTAATGCAACATAATGTGGCAGTTTTTACATTTAATTTATCCAGAAGTGCATTGGGTTGCTAAAAACAAGACACTGAAAATCGATCGGGAGTTCATTTGATCGATACCAATCAATGAGCAACTAACAACAAATCACCACTAGCATCATTATCAATTTAAGAAATTAGCCTGGAACACTCTTGTTTATTAAGTTTCATGAACAAAAAACAAAAAACAAACAAAAAAAAAAAAAAAAAACACTGTATAGTTTGATTTAAAAAAGAAAACTGAATAACTTAAATTTCTAATAACACTGTAGCACAACAAACAGTAAAATACACAGCAGAGTATATTTCTATTATGCCTATATATTTTTTAAAACCGCTTTTATCTTTTATTCTCAATTTGTGTGTTTGCTGTTCAAAGCAAGGGCACATTCACACAAATGCCTCCAGTCTATAGTAAGCCAATGTTTCCACAGCTTTCTGACCCCAAAACTAGTCTTTTGAAACACACTCTCAAAAGCAGACGATTATGACAATGCCAGCCTCGTGCTTTAGTGAGCTCAGGGTGAACTGAGCTTTTCAAAAACAACGTGGTATGCTTAATTAGACAGGGTCAGTGCTGGCAGCAATACTCTGATCACTCTCTCTCTTTGCACCTTCTGAATGCCAAGACAGCTAATCACACAATACAAGAGTATATATTTAAGTTTAATATTGTCAGACAACTTTCAGGCATAAAATAGGGATGTTATGGATGATACTGCTGCTATCAATAGACATACCTTTTGTGTGCACTCCAAGGCGGTACGAACCAAATGTAAATATCTTGCCCCCAACACAGCTTATTGCTGATGGTGGGAGGTTCTGTAGAGGAGAAGAGCATATGCAATAAAATCAGTATGATGTGGTTTTTCTTTATGACATGACAGTAGATAGCTTTAGTGACTCTGATTCAATAGTAAGCAACAATGACTCCATACTACATCATAAATCACAGATTTTACTTATAAGGAATTCAACAGGTCAACAGAACTCACCTTTAATTCACTGATCTCTGCGATCCATTCTTTAACAAAGTTATTCAACTTCCCAAGAACTGCAAGTCTGAAAGGAGATACAACTTTTAGCAGGTGCTTTATCCACAATCCACCCCTTTCACTAATCATATAGTGAGGATGAAAATGATATTAGTACACCACACATTTTCACAAATTCCTAGATGGTAATATGTGCATTCAAGCCTTCAAGCATATGCATCTAGGTACCACAAAAACATACACACAAGTAAAATGCAGTTGAACCTCAAACTTACAAGAAATACAAGCTTAGAAGTATCCATTTTTGTAGAAACTACCAGAGAAGTACTGGTACATTATATTACAAAAACTGATGTTTTAAGTGTGCATCTCTTGTAAGTGTAGTTCTGCCTGCGACAATGAAAGGTAAGCAGTCAATATGCCTTACTGTTGTGTCATGATTAAAATAAAATTTTAACACTATGCTCCTTACCTATGGTTCAATTCCTCTTCATCTTCAAACACCCCAAAAGGTTTCATAGCATCACAAAGTTTCTTGGTGTACTGGTGGTCTATTTCTCGTGGAGGTGCAAGGCTAATGGCAGAGGTGATGCCATAGTGTTTCTGAGGCTGCTGCCCACCAGGCATGGTGCTGCAAGGGAACATAATATGGGAACATGGCGCAATACATGAAATGACAGCTACTACCCCACACTTCACATTACTGCGTTAATTCATCTATGTCATGATTTTTAAAATCTCTTCTTAAACATTGAACAAGATTACCAATTAAATGGGAAAACATTTATGAGCCGCAGCTTATTTTTGTAAGATGTTATGCTTTGCTAATTTCTTTTCCTCTCCTCTATGTTGCTACCGCCAACCTATGTGTAAACACGCTATTATTACATTGTCTGACAACAAAGTGCTTCATGTTACATTACATTACTGAACACAGAATGCGTATTAATGACTCCGCACTCGTGTGCAATTTCAAATCTGTATGTAAGTGAGTTTACCTATATAGCAGAAACGTGTTTGAAACGAGCTACTTTTCAGGCTGGAGGCGAACGAACGTTAGCCGAGTGGCTACAAACAGGTTGGAAGCGCTAACAAATTGGCTAATTTAGCAAGTTAGCAAACGTTAGCTGGCTGCTACGGAAGAATTGGTTTAACTAATGACTCGCTTTCCGGTTAGACCTAATGAAGGGTCGATATTTTCTTTAACAAAAATAAGTGAAATCCGTTCATTTTGTTCGGCAAATGTACACCGTAGTTACCTACCAACAAACAAGCGAGCTAGCCAACAAACGGTGGCAGCAGGCCTTGTTTGGTTGTTGTGACAGTTGGCTAACGTTAGCTTTTAGCCTATTCTTTAGGACTCTCTTTTAAACGCGGACAAAAATGTTCATAAATGAAAACGGACTACGTGCATGACTTACCTTGACATTTCTTTCATGACACTCTAAAAAGCTTGCACTGTTTTTCTGCTGTAAACCCGTAAAAAAACTAAGAAAGTCAGCAAGTGGAAATGATAACAGCCTCGACCTGATTACAACAATGGTCACTTTCCAGAGAGCAGTTCAAACCTTCCCACTGAACCGGAATCACTTCTTATAAGATAACGTATCAACTCGTAATCCTGAAAGAATATTCATATCTAATTCATTTGCAAAAAGCGCTGGATTTTTTGGATGCTACCATCTACCACGCGTTTAATTGCTGTTTGGACTTTTTTTTATTCAAAACTACAAATGTAACGGCATTTGTCAGGACAACGTCTGCGTGCAGCACGCTGAGCAACCATCGTCAGAAGGCACCTCCTCACCGAGGCCACAAATCACGTGACCACGAGGCCCGGCGCTGCTAAACTCAACACAACCCAGCATAGCTAGTGTTAGCTGTAACATGCTACACACACCTGTCACACAAGGTGGGTCTGAAGTTGGAGTCGTAAGTTTGGAGATATGGCAAGACAGTAATTATTGTATACAATGAAAGTTACGTTGCATGAAAGCTAAAATAACGTTATCATACTTTGGTGAGAGGGTTCAACGGCCACATTTATGTTAGCTAATATTGTTTATGTTTGTTAGCCTGTGAAGACAGACATGTAGTGTAACGTCATAACAATACTGGGCATATCTGTAGCATTTCAGTTTTTCGCAGCTGCACAAAAGTTTTGAGACCAACTTGATGTTAAGGGTATCATAACAGGTGGTCATTTACGAATTAAACATGTCTAAGTCGATGTAACATTTATATTTGTAAACGTGTTCAATAAAATAGCATCATATGTGGCACAGGAACTTAGTGTATTTCGGGACTGTTTAGACAGAAAATGGATAGATTTTATTGGTGTAACGTTATAGTGCATTCTTTAATGCAAACTGTAACTTTTATGTCTGACAATTAAAGTGCTGTGGGTTGTTTTGCACCGTCCACCAGAGACCACCTCCTCACAGAAAAATAAGTCCAACGGAGGGAAAGTTAAAGGGACAGTTCAGTTTTTTTGAAGTGGGAGGAATCTGAAAGGAAAGCTAAGTATTATACTGCTGTGGAGGGGTCAGCAGCAAAATGTATTTAAGCCAATTAAAAAAGTCCCACCTTAAAAAACCCCAATATCAGTTTAAGTGTATGCTATTTTGAAGCAGGTTGACAGATTGCAGAGTTTTCTGAATAGTGGAAATGGAAAGGGTTGCCATGATATAATCAGTGTCTGGTGTCTCTTCTGTCATCCTCCTCCACCAACTCCATCATGTCTTCCTGACTTGACCTGGAGGTCATTCTTGTCACAGCATCCAACCAATTTTCCCTCACTGACCGCCGAAAAAGTTTACCTTACTGAGACAAAAATGGGTTAATCCGTTCAGTCAGTGTCATATCAGTGGACACCTAAATCCCTAATGTCATTGCTGACTGAATAATCACAATTTTCTCAGTAAAATATGCAGCAGTTACAGTAAAATATGCTCACATTTGTATTAAAAAGGCGGAGGAAGAACCAGCAATACTAATATTCAAATTGCCATTGTTTAAATGTCTCAAATGGTAAATGTATCCCCTGAAGTGGACCAATGAAAAGCTACACTGTGAAATCAGTGAAAGCCACACATAAATTACACTGTTGTTCTTATTAGCAATCATATGCTGTTAATCACAAGGTGCTCAAGTAATGTTTGCCTGATAATCTGTTGCCAGTTGCCAAAGTGCTCTTGCCAGTTTTTCACTGTTTTATTGAAGTGAGATGTCACAAGTTGCACTTGCAACCAGTGTTGGGAAAGCTACTTTGAAAGCATTAGCTCTCAAAGCTACCAACTACTTCTCAGTGGAAGAAGTTGAACTACAGCAAAGCTGCCCTAGTGAGAAATCTTGTTTAATTAACTAAAACTTGTAACCATGATATGAAATTATAACAGAATGTAAAACAAAGAAGTCACATGTCGACAAAAATAGCCACTCAGTTGCATTTATTGCAAACAGTGCCCACTTGCTCACAGGTTAACAAACCAAAATGAATAAATGAATACACCACTATTCATGGGAAAGTGCAATGAATGTCGGCCATGGTTCTGTATACAATGTCTATCAGTCAAACACCTGCTTTCCAGAGACTAGAGTCCAGGTGGGGGTATTAGCCACATGACTTCCTAAATAGTATGCATCAAGTTGTCTGAACATTTGTTAACAAATCCAAAATTGTTTGTGGTTGTTGTTTCAGTAGTTAACTACATAGAAAATGGCAAAAAAGTAATTTAACTACTTGAAAATCACTATTCAAATATGAATGTAGCTGAACTACCAGCAAGCTACTGCAAAATGTGGTTTATTTAACATGTATTTCACTACTCGCTAACGCTGCTGGCAACTGACAAACTTTAAAATTGTTGACTCTGTATTGTTGAAAAATACGGCTTCAGTGCACCATTAATTTTGGTCCATGTGAGTCTAGATCATTTTATTTGTCAGAAAGTTGCGGCTCAGCCATCAGGTCCTTAAAAGAACTCTTATATCTCACCTCAGCAGGTTAAACAGCTCTGCCTAGTGGATGGTTCAAAATATTACACTTGGTGTAAAATGTCCTTTGATAAATGGTTTCATCATTAATCTTGACTGGCTTCAATGTGAACAGTCAAATGATTATCAGTTGGTCAAAGCTCTGCAAATGTTTGTTCTTTTGACATGATATTGCACACACGATGTGGGATTGTGAAATTACACTGCACTTAATTCACCTCTTTGGAATCCCGGTTAACTTTTTTTTTTGTGGAGCACAGCCTTTGTAAGGAATATTATATGTATGTTAATAAATGCAGTGGACAATTTTAGTACACAAATGTTAGAAATTATATTGTCAAACATGACAACAAGTATAACTAATATGACTGTAACATGTAGTTGTTTAATGTATACAGTACAGGCCAAAAGTTTGGACACACCTTCTCATTCAATGCGTTTTCTTTATTTTCATGACTATTTACATTGTAGATTCTCACTGAAGGCATCAAAACTATGAATGAACACATGTGGAGTTATGTACTTAACAAAAAAAGGTGAAATAACTGAAAACATGTTTTATATTCTAGTTTCTTCAAAATAGCCACCCTTTGCTCTGATTACTGCTTTGCACACTCTTGGCATTCTCTCCATGAGCTTCAAGAGGTAGTCACCTGAAATGGTTTCCACTTCACAGGTGTGCCTTATCAGGGTTAATTAGTGGAATTTCTTGCTTTATCAATGGGGTTGGGACCATCAGTTGTGTTGTGCAGAAGTCAGGTTAATACACAGCCGACAGCCCTATTGGACAACTGTTAAAATTCATATTATGGCAAGAACCAATCAGCTAACTAAAGAAAAACTAGTGGCCATCATTACTTTAAGAAATGAAGGTCAGTCAGTCCGGAAAATTGCAAAAACTTTAAATGTGTCCCCAAGTGGAGTCGCAAAAACCATCAAGTGCTACAACGAAACTGGCACACATGAGGACCGACCCAGGAAAGGAAGATCAAGAGTCACCTCTGCTTCTGAGGATAAGTTCATCCGAGTCACCAGCCTCAGAAATCTCAAGTTAACAGCAGCTCAGATCAGAGACCAGATGAATGCCACACAGAGTTCTAGCAGCAGACCCATCTCTAGAACAACTGTTAAGAGGAGACTGCGCCAATCAGGCCTTCATGGTCAAATAGCTGCTAGGAAACCACTGCTAAGGAGAGGCAACAAGCAGAAGAGATGTGTTTGGGCCAAGAAACACAAGGAATGGACATTAGACCAGTGGAAATCTGTGCTTTGGTCTGATGAGTCCAAATTTGAGATCTTTGGTTCCAACCGCCGTGTTTTTGTGAGACGCAGAAAAGGTGAACGGATGGATTCCACATGCCTGGTTCCCACTGTGAAGCATGGAGGAGGAGGTGTGATGGTGTGGGGGTGTTTTGCTGGTGACACTGTTGGGGATTTATTCAAAATTGAAGGCACACTGAACCAGCATGGCTACCACAGCATCCTGCAGCGACATGCCATCCCATCCGGTTTGCGTTTAGTTGGACCATCATTTATTTTTCAACAGGACAATGACCCCAAACACACCTCCAGGCTGCGTAAGGGCTATTTGACCAAGAAGGAGAGTGATGGAGTGCTGCGGCAGATGACCTGGTCTCCACAGTCACCGGACCTGAACCCAATCGAGATGGTTTGGGGTGAGCTGGACCGCAGAGTGAAGGCAAAGGGGCCAACAAGTGCTAAACACCTCTGGGAACTCCTTCAAGACTGTTGGAAAACCATTTCAGGTGACTACCTCTTGAAGCTCATGGAGAGAATGCCAAGAGTGTGCAAAGCAGTAATCAGAGCAAAGGGTGGCTATTTTGAAGAAACTAGAATATAAAACATGTTTTCAGTTATTTCACCTTTTTTTGTTAAGTACATAACTCCACATGTGTTCATTCATAGTTTTGATGCCTTCAGTGAGAATCTACAATGTAAATAGTCATGAAAATAAAGAAAACGCATTGAATGAGAAGGTGTGTCCAAACTTTTGGCCTGTACTGTATAAGTAAAGGCAATGTTTCATCTTAAATATGACATTTGGTTTTCATTGGTCTGTGTATTCTTTGCTCATTTGAAGAGCTGCAACACTTAATTAATTGGCAATTCTTTTGATAAATAATCTTTACAGTAATTTTTAAGCACAAAAAATGCTTGTTTCATGCTTAAATGTGAGAATTTGGTGTTTCTTTGTTATACATGATAAGCTCTATGGCTTTGGATTTTTGGACTGCTTTTTGCGCATTATTGCAGTTCTGATATTTCTGTGTTCTTGTCTCACAGGGATTGCTCTGGGCGTGACACCCAAGACCACCCATACAACCCTCCGTCAAATCTTTTGGCTGTCCAGGAGAAACCCAGAGTGTATGCACAGTGGCTGTGGCCAGCTTGACTTTATGAGTGTTGCAATGGATTCCAGTAGGTCTTTAGAGTCCTATGTGGACAACATTATGTTACCTATTAGAAGAGCGCAAGCAACCTTTCAACTATCAATAAAAGGGAACTCCTCCCCCCTTCGTCTACACCCACTTCTGCATTCTGGACTTTCAGTGTCAGTCAGATTGTTTAAAGTAGTCAGACTGGCAGACTGGTCAGAGAGGCCTAATACTGCAACAAAAAGCTCAGTCAGATTCAAAAATGAGTGTCACACCTCTTGTGAATGTGGACCGCTGGATTAAAGAGAACCAGAATGCTTTCCTGCCACCGGTGTGCAACAAGCTCATGTGAGTATCTTAGCCACATTGTTATATGTGGTGGGTGTGTAATCACAGTGGGTTCTTCCTTGCAACAACTTGTTACATAATGTGGTGAATAATCAGTAATTTACTTCACAACTTCACAACAACTCAGATTGAAAAGCTCAATAATGTAAGGTTTAGGTCCCCAGACAAGTAACAACTTAAACCAAGTTTAGACCAAAGATTCACAATGAGATGAGTTGAAACATGCAGCTGCTTGCAATGTGCGGTTCTGCAACGTTCTAAAAACCTGCTGGTTCACATCAGTGCAAGTAGACGAGACGGTGTATCATCTCTACGCAACAACTCTCTGTACTTCTGATCTGATTTCCAGCTTTTCAGGCTTATTTTGTGGCTGAATATCATTTGTAGCTTCTTAAAATATGAATGAGGATAGTGATAGTGAGATACTGGCTACACTGGGCTTAACAAAATTCCAGTGACTATTTGAGGTTGTGTAGTTAGACCACAGTTGTCTTTAACTCTTTCTCCAGGCACTTTTCCCAGTTGAATGTCATGTTTGTTGGAGGTCCCAATACCAGGAAGGATTATCACATAGAGGAAGGGGAGGAGGTAAGAAAGAAGGGATGATTTATTATGAATAAAGTTCATAGATTATTTAATGCAAATTTATAAATACTTTACTATAATTATTTATAGCTTTTGCACATCATCGGGGGAGGAGAATAATATGAGACTAAAGTCCTTTTGGTATTTTAGCTTTCAGTTAACTGCTTTACATTCACAATTTAAGCAACGGTTATTAACTTTTATAAAAATGATTTGTAGTCTTCAGCAACAACCGATGCTGACTCAAGTGACAGAACCTGAGGCAGCTTATCAGACATCACACAGCTCCCTCTGGAGACACAAAAGGCTCCATGCAACTTTTCTTCATGCAGTAGTACTGTCTAACACTTTCATGTGTAAAATCAGTACTGTTTCCCTTTAATGTAAGGATATATCTTTTGTCTTCCACTCTTCCTTTATTTTGAACAGCTGTTCTACCAGGTGAAAGGGGACATGTGTCTGAAGGTGATAGAGAATGGGAAACACAAGGATGTACACATCAAGGAGGGAGAGGTGAGCTTCAATATGTTTTTATTGACTGGCTTTTCTTTTTTACCATAGTTTTGTATACTGCGTAGTAAGCCTATTTGACACATCATTACTACACATGGAGTCCAACTTAAGGCGGTACAATTCACTCTGTCACTTATAATGCAACTACTTTATCGGTAAAATTTGTGTGATGGACTTTATCTCATCTGCTCTGTTTTTCTTTGAAAATCTGCATTTCATTCATTTCGCCACCATTTGTAGATGTTCCTGCTGCCAGCTCGGATCCCTCACTCCCCCCAGAGACAGGCCAACACTGTGGGGCTGGTGGTGGAGAGGAGACGGCTGCTGACTGAGACTGACTGTCTGAGGTTAACTACTCTATCACCTTCTCTTTTCAGCTCTTCTCATGCAGAGAATAGCAGTGGATACAGACCAAGTAAAAAAAATGTGACAAATTACAGTTACAGGAAAATCTAAACTTGTTGGAGAAAATATAGGAAGTACAGCTTTCCACAGTTGTTTTGATGCATAGCTTGAAATAAAAGAGAAGTTGTGAGAACATGTGACACAAACAGCGACACTGTGTTTCCATTTACAAAATGGAATGGTTCTCAAAACTCTCAGTACAGTCTTCAGTATCACATACTGAAATCTGAAAAGAAAATTCTGTGAGGAAAAGCTCCTCACTCAAGACAAGACAAGAAAAGAAAAGCAACTATCTTTAAACAGTACACAAATCCAAAGCTCCAACCTGATATTTGAGCTGGTAAAAAATGGTAAGCCAACTTTATTTTCAACCCAACTTGCAGTTATACATTAACCAATAACTGCTGCCAATAGCACAACACATGTAGATATCAGGGCAATGACAAACAGTTAAATAAACAAAACAGAGTATAATAAAAAAAAAAAGAAACAAAAACTGTCTGACCTTCTCTTGATAACATCATATCTCATATAACACAGCTCTACTGTTGTGACAAAGACAGTGTCAGACATAAAGAGGTAACACAACATATACAGTTGCACCTTCTGATCATACCTCAACCCTGACCTTCCTTGTCACCATGGGTCTTTCTCGAAATACTACTATACATGTATCAAGTTTCTTAAATGTGCACTATAGAGTAAAAATAAAGACAAAATGTGGATACAAATTCATACCTTTTTTTTGAGCCAAGTGCCTCCTTCCTAGCCTCAAGCATGATGTAACATGCCCCCTTCATCCTAGCAACAGAGAGCTCCACAGATACAAATCAGAGATACAAATCTCTGTTAAAGAGTATTTTCACTGCAGCAGTGCATGCTGATAACCATAGCTGCCTTTGAGTGTGACTAAAGTTCTGCCCTGACTCATCATTGAGTATGATGATGATTTATCATGTTTGATTATTTTCTTCTTTTTATATAAACTACAACACTTTTTAGAATGGAAGCTGAAGGCTCCTGAGAACAATAATTTCAAGTGTGACAGGTTTCTGCATTCACAACTTCACTTCATCATCCATGTCTGCCAAAGTCATGTTATGTTGCGAAGTGAGAATTCAGCCCTGATTTGCTACATACTGTAGCCTGATAGGTCCCGCGGTAGCGCTGTACCGTATATAGCGTCATATCACCTAACCCTACCTTACATTGTCTAATATGACCTGTCCCTCCTTGGATTTTCCCTTCTTACATTCACAAGGCTTTAACCCCTGTACATCACAGATGCTTTTCCATCTCTCTTTGCATCCATATCTTACATGCAACCAACCCGCTGTGTCTGTGTACACATGACTTATATCTTTGCATACAGTGCATTCAGTGAATAAGCCAACACAACAGAAACAGATCGCTCTTCGTTTGGAGCAAGATTGAAATTATCAGAGCAGAAAACACTGATCAGTGTTTACATGTAACTTTTTAGCAAACGTCATTCTCTGTGTGATGGTTGTGTGAAAAGAAAAACTGAAACTGTAAGAGGAACCAGAAATCATTGGGAGTTAAGTGACTGCATTGAAGTTGTGATCACTGTGTAAACAGAGTCAGCAGAAATGTATCAAATCAGTGGAAAAAAACTGTATTATAAACTATGATGTGAAATACAAAGACTGTTTTGAATCTCATAAGTACATTCTGCCCAAGTAAAAGGATTCAGCAAGAAGGTAACACAACAGACATATATGCAGGAGTTCAGCATTCAGCATCAAGCAGCTTTACCATAAGCATGTGTTGGTTCCTACAGGTACTATGTGGACAACACCACTGACATCCTGTTTGAGAAATGGTTTTACTGTAAGGATCTCGGAACTGAACTGGTGCCAATAATCAAAGAGTAAGACATCTTCCCATCTTCTTATCTTTTTTTTATCTGACAGATCTCCAGCTGTGGGTATTTGTTTAAATGCAGTCTGTTGTTGTTGTTTGACTTTTCCCTGCAGGTTCTTGGCATCAGTGGAGTGCAAAACAGGAAAACCTGATCCAAGTAAGTTAAAATGTCTTGTGTCTAACTTAAAGTCTAGTCCCTGTAGATCTTTAACTGGTGTCATGGTTATTTTTGGATGAACAGATAAAGTCTTCAGAGAACCTCCGTTCCAGATGAACACCATGAACGTGATGTTGCCCTTCTGCTTCAAAGACTGGCTGGACAAGCAGAGACCGTCCCTGGCTAGTGGAGGACCCATCGACATGTTTGGAGCTCAGTTTGAGACAGAGGTACTAGGGATCATGTTTTCAAATGTGTTTTCATAGAGGTTTAGCAGTTACAGCCTTTTCTTTGGTATTAAATAATGTGTGTATTAAAGACTGTGCTGACTGAACTAGCATTAATTACTTGCTCAGATTTTTAATCTTGTTTAATTGTGTCCAGCCGTGGCTGGAGGCGTTACGTTTTAAAGTTGTCTGTTGTCTGACATTTTAAATCCAAAAAAGTCAAAGGTAAACTTCATAATGACATCATAATGTTCTGTAAAAACACTTTTCTGGTCATTATTCAACCCCATATGTTAGGAACAGAAGCTGAGCTGCTTTGTGGAGGCATACAACTGGAGGCAGTAATTCTCATTAAACCACGATCTGATATGGAAAGATGGAAAAAAAAATCCCTGACTAATCATCAATGTTCAATATTGCATTATGGATGAACATAAGTTATGGATTTGTAAATTTACACACAAGTTGACACTGACAGTTGACATTGAGACAACGGGAGCAGATGTGATGTGATGATGATGGTGGTGATCTAGAAGAGTTGCAAAGATGCAATGATGCTTCGTCTTATGACCATGACAGGTAATGGTGTTTGGACCTGGGCAGACAAAGATGTCAGTGCGACCAAGTGAAGTGTGGATTTGGCAACTGGTATGTTCTCTGAATGTACTGTTTCTCCTGTAGCTTTATCTGCCCACCCAGTCTCTCAGTGCTGTTTTGATGCTGCTCTAGCTAAGTACAATGTATCTGTGTCTGATCACCATCTGTGTATTAACCAAACTCAGAATATTTTTGAATCATCTACTTTTCTCATCTCCTTCTCTCTCTGACTCTCAGGAGGGATCCTCAAGATTAACTATGAATGGGCAAGGGTTCACTCTTTCTGCGGGAGACAGTTTACTTGTTCCTGAACAGAGCCAGTGAGTCAACATTAACAATTATTAACAAAGCGTTCCCGTCAGTGTACGTATTATTAGGTAGAAAGTGTTGCAATTTTGCTACCAGAATATTCCAGTGTTTTAAAGGGGGTGATTTTGTGGTAATGACTATTTAAAGATTCTGATTTTTATCCTAAAAATTAAATGTCGTCGTCTTCTGCTTATTTTTCTTCTTCGATTTCTTCTTCTTCTTCTTCTCCTTCTTCTTCTTCTTCTTCTTCTTCTTCTTCTTCTTCTTCTTCTTCTTCTTCTTCTTCTTCTTCTTCTTTTTCTTCTGCTTCTGTAGATACCAGTGGCAGAGAGATGAGGGGACTGTTGCTCTGGTTGTGGTTCAAAACCCTGAGCGGAAGAGACCCTGAGCATCACCTGCCATTTCACTCACACACACACACACACACACACTCTTTAAATATACAGTATTCTGTATAAGTGAGCAGGGGAACTCAGTGTATTTGTTGTAATGTAAAGTAGATTGTGTATTATTGCACACACTAAGTATTGTAAATCATGCACTCATTTAAGCTTGACACTTCTAATAATGTGTTGATGAAAGTGACCACTGACCTATTTGAGTCTTGATAAACACTAGAAGCTATTGAAATTGAAACTGTAGCTGCACTTTGTCATAGTTTCAGACACTGATGTTATCTTGTGATTTCTGTTTTACCGTATGAAAGAAATCAAATAAATATGTGTAGAGATGAAATTTTCAGTTATGATCATTTATCTTAAAAGACATTCTCCCTAATTACACAATTACTCTGGAAGTGAAAAACACAAGACATAAAAAAAATCGCTGACACTTTAATCCCTTTCAAAATACCCACACTACAGTCACAGTTCCAGGGTAATAATCCTTTTAAATTATCCAAACACAGGTTTCAACAAGTTTACAAGCAATGACTGTTGTTATGTGATATATCCATGTGGTGCATGCCAAGTCCAGCTTTTCCAAAGAAATCCAGAACTGATGAAACTGTCTTCCTGTAATGGGTACAACTATTCAATAAACATAGTGATAGAAAAATCCACTGCAAAAAAACACATGGATCTCCTAACAGTGTCTGCTACTCTTATGATCATGGACAGCATGAGCAATTCTAGTGAATAAAAATTGCATTTCTTAGTGCATCAAACTGACTGCAAGCTGTCACGTAAACATGTTATTCACTCTGCAGTCCAAAAGAGTCAGATAGTATTTCAGTATTTCAGAAAAGCTGCAAATGTAGCCTGATCATTAAAGTGCATATGAATAAATATTGTATTAATAATAATAATAATGATAAGTGTTAGAGTTGATTCCCACCTTCGCCTTATATCTAGTTTTTGTGTTAAGCCAAGCCGACTGTCTCATAGCTGTAGTTTCATATTTTACAGACAGATATGAGAGTGGTGTGTATCTTCGTATCAAACTCCCAGCAAGAATGGAAATTAACCTATTTCCCAAAATGCCACATGATTCCTTTAAAGCTGATATACAGTCAGTTCATTTTTTGTCTTATTTCAGTCTGTAAAAAAACAACAACCAAAAAAAAAAACCAACAGTCTGACTTGAAAATTGCCATTACTGGGCAAAAATCCCTTTATTACTTACTTACTTACTTAACTAAGGCTTTAGAAAATCTAGCAGATGACAAGAAACTTTGGCCAATCACAGGTCATTTTAGTAAGAGAGTGTACATCTCTTTGGTGAAGGCCTGATTGAATGGCTTAAAATCCTACAGAGAAAGTTGCTATTCCAATATTTGCAACAACTGACTACACTGCAAAGCGTCCTCAAAAATGGAAGACTGACCCATTAAAAATAGAGTCTTAAAGAGAGTCTGAAAATTAACTACATCAAACACAAGTCAATATTAGCATAGTGTTTCAAAGATTGAGAGAAAATGTTGCTAATAATTTATCCTTCTGCTAACTGGAGCCAAAGGTTCATAGCTGTGGCTTCATGTTTTGGTCTAAATAGCTAACGTTAATTAGAACCTTGAATCACAGTGTGTCCTCCACCTCACTCCCCGGCACTACAGACATTGTTACCGGGAGGAAAGCGGGCAGCAGCTCTGAAAAATGACCCCAAGTCAGCGGCTGCAGCAACTCAAATCCAGCCAGCGCAAACCCTACTCCCTGCCAGATCAGCAAACTTTCTGTTGCTGCCGTTACACAGCTTAAACCTGGCACTGCTGCTGCTGATTACCAGCCAGCTGTGACATCCAGTGGGGAAGGGGGGAGTTGCATTGGCTGAATTTGAGCCACTACAGCTACTGACCAAATCTCTTTCTCTTCTCCCACAAAAGATAATTCAATGTATCGAGAAACTTGGTTACTGTGTGAAGTGTGTGCATATGCCCATGGACATCTGATGGTAAGGGCTTAGGACAGAGGGGACAGATCTCTGCCTACCCCAGCTTTAATGCCACAGCTCAGTAAGGTGCAGCGTGTGCACCAGCTTTTTTAACATACTCATGTCAAAAACTCCCAAAGGTGTGGTGTTGTTCCTCAAACAATGTTCAGTAGTTGCTTTTGGAAGCACAGTATTCCCGATTTAATGAGTTCAGTTGTGCAGTCTTATCCTCAGAGTGTTCCTTATCACATGCTGCTCAGCTATAAATGCTGCCACAGTCCACGGCAGTGCATACTCCAGAGTCACCAGTCCTCCCAGGTTGTACCTATGGCCAGAGTAGTCCCAGGGACAGGCCTGCAGCAGCCTCAGCCCCGCCCCCCAGCTGAACTCCCATAGATAGATAAACAGGGTGTAGGCCGTCAGACGCATTGGCAGTGGGAAATGCTGAGACAGCAGCCGGTCTCTGAGGATCTCCATGAGGTAGATTGCGGTGGCGTACATAGGCAGCGCCCACAGGCTGCTGTGACCTGCCAGCCTCCTGTCCTGGCTGCTGCACCAGTCCCACACAGCCGTGAAGGCCACCTCACAGAGGCAGCCGTGCAGTGCGTACACATAGAGACGAGCTGCAGCGGAGAGGGGACGACTTGAGATGCTCTCACGTGGTACTGCTGAGGCTTCATCTTCAACACCAGCCCCTGTCACAAAGAAACTGATTACTATGTGGTTTTGGCCGATTTGGATATTTTTCTATAAGATATCCAAAATGTGAAGGATGTGGCATGTTTACAAAAACAAACCCGCAATGGTACATGAACTAGGGTTTAAATTCTCTTAGTAAAGAATCCTAATATTGGAGCGCCGGTGGCTTAGTGGTAGAGCAGGTGCCCCATGTACAAGGCTGCTGCCGCAGCGGCCCGGGTTCGACTCCAGCCTGTGGCCCCTTGCTGCATGTCACTCCCTCTCTCTCTCTCCCCCCTTCACACTTGTCTGTCCTATCAATTAAAGGCTAAAAAGCCCCAAAAATACCTTAAGAAAAAAAAAAGAATCCTAATATCTTACTCTATATTATTTCATAAGACAATGTAAAATGAAATTACTGGCGACCACAGAAAATGCAAAACTGTCTCAGCGACAGGCTCCATCACTACAGTTTTGACAATATTAATTTTAGAAATAGTAATGCATATGATTGAAAAGTTATACATGAAAACAGGACACATGTTTTTCAGCTGATCGTTCATTTTACTGCAGTGGTGGGTTAACAAAGGTCAGTAACTGAGAGGGTCCGTCTGTTGGAGGTTAGCAGTGACTTTTCACAGCTGAGCAGTATACACTGGTGAATATGGTAATGCTGTTGTCTTTCTTTTGAGGTAAATTCAAACCCTGATAGTTTGAGACCACGTAGCTCCAATGAAATGACAGCATCAGCATTTCCACCAGTGCTGACAGTCTGTAGTGATGTGTCTGTGGAGTCTATTTAGGACTGAATGAGGTACACAAGGCCATTTTCCTACATTGCCTGGAAAGAGCAAACATAATGTGTATAATGTATGATGTTGATGAGATATTATGGCCTGACCCAGCTCTAAGATGACATGATGAAAACATGGATGCTGATGCTGAGTAACCTGTGCATTTGCTGCACTGGTAATTAAAGCTTCTGGAAGTTAGATATTTTAGTTTGCATGAACTCTTCCTACATGTTTTGTCAGTGTGACATTACATAGGTCAGCAGCATATACAGTAGTATTCACTTATCCACTGTAGCAGATATATATATATATATATATATATATATATATATATTACAGTATCTGCTGTTCCTGAAAGGGTTATCTTGACAGTCAGTGCTGTGATTTTACAAAGTTACAAATTATTTCTCTGAATTTTTTTTCAACATCTTGGTAGCAGTGTTTTAAATTGATCCTTCTAGTATGTAACAAACAGTCATGTAGTCTTGTGTGTTCCTGAATGGAGACCTGAACATTCATGTTAACAACAAGAATGAGTTACTGAGTTTTTGAATCTACCTGACAGCTTTGGATGTACTCAACATGTAAGTGAAGCCACTCATCAGCATGGTAATATTTTAGACTTAGTGTGTGTTAATTGGTACCAAACTAAAGTCAACAAAGACTAAAGGTGAAGTCATACAGCTGTGGCTGCTCTGTAAATGACATGGTTAAAAATTTCAACAGTATCCTGTCATCTGCTGTTGCTCCACTAAAGGTTAAAAAGAGGATGAGTGACAGAATTTCCTCATGGTTAAACAACAACAGTGTTAAAGAGACTGAGAGAATCTGTCGAGCAGCTGAAAGAAAATGGAGGGAAACTAAGCTCACAGTTCACTGTAATATATACAAATAGAACATGACTGCCCATAACAAAGCAATAGGCTACATCTGGCAAGAAAGGAATGCTTTTCCAAGATTATTACAGAGAATGCTGGAAACTCTAGAGTGTTATTCTCCACCATTGATCAGCAAATCAACACTGCCCTCACCTGTATGCAGTTCTCTGCATCAAAGTGTGAAGAACTTGGTTTGTTATTCGAAAACAAAATAACTTCAAGTAGAGCTGGTATTACTGTCCATGTAAGCACAGATGACATTGGTACACCCTGTAAAAAAGATGTAATCATGGGGAAATTCAGCTGTATTACATTACTGGACCTTTGCAAGACTGTCACACAGTGTAACTCCCCCACCTCTTGTATCGTCCCTGTTCCTAAAGCCTTTTTGCGTGGGTGCTTGACAGTGTTTCAAGTCAGGTCCTCTTCAAACAGGCATCCTCCCAGATGCCTTCAAAACAGCTGTTGTAAAACCCATACTAAAGAAACACAACCTAGATGGAAATGCACTGACCAGCTATAAGCCGACAACCAATCTCCCATTTATTAGTTAGATACTTGAAAAAATAGTATCAGTGCAAATACGTTCCTTTCTTAAAGAGTATAGTGTCCTGGAGGAAGTTCAATCAGGCCTTAGAACACCCCACAGCACTGAAACTGCTCTTACTAAAATAATCAGAGACCTCAGACTATATTCAGATCAAAATAAGGTGCAGGTAAGCGCAGCATTTGATACGATTGACCATGACATCTTAATCAATCATCTTGAAAAGTTGGTTGGTCTTTCTGACTGTGTGTTAAACTGGTTCAAAACATGCATTAAAGGGTGGAAGTTTACATCTGTCTTGGAGATCATGTGTCTGAGAAACATGACCTCTGTTTTGGGGTTGCACAAGGGAACTGCCTTGGTCAGTTATTATTCTCATTGTGCATGCTGCCACTAGGTGACATCATGAGAGAATACAATCTTTGTTTCTATAGTAATGTACTGTACACAACTGTACATGTCTGCTGAGCCAAACGATGCTGCAGCTATTAACTCCATTACTTCCTGTCTTTTGGCAATAAATAAATGTATGAGCAATAATTTCTTAAAGTTAAATGAAGACAATACTGAAATCCTGCTTGTCGTTCCTAATACAAAAAGAGAAATGCTGCTTAAGAATCTGGGAAATACAACTCCTTGGATTAAATCTGAGATTACAAGTGTTGGTGTGATCCTGGAGTCAGATCTAAGCTTCAAGTCCCACATTAACAAGGTGACCAAAACACCATTTTCCCACCTCATAAACATAGCCAGGATACTACCATTTCTAAATGAAAAAGATGCCGAGAAGTTAATTCATGCATTTCATTCAAATCGACTCGACTACTGTAATCCTTCCAAAAAACACCACTGAGAGACTTCAGCTAATTCAAAACTCTGCAGCTCGGCTATTTACCAGAACCAAGAGTAGACAGCACATCAGGCCAGTTGAGCTGCTCTGCACGGACTTCCTGTTGCATTTACAATTGAGGTGCAATTTAAGGTCCTCCTTGTATACAAATCCCTAAATGGGTTAGGACAAATCTACATTGCTAACTCTCTTGTTAACTATTTGCCTCCAAGAACACTGCGATCACCTGCTGCTGGTTTATTGGAGGTTGCCAGAAACAGCTGAAGAAGATCCGGGATGCAGCCTTTGTTAATTACACCCCAAAGCTATGGAACACACTGCCTATAGATGTCAGGGAAGCTAGCTCACTAAATCTTTTTAATAGAAAGCTAAAAATGTATCTGTTCACCTTAGCCTTTAACTAGCTCTGACTTTCCTGAGACAAGTCTGCAACTCTTTCTATTTACGCATCACACTGCTGCAACTCTTTTATAATCTTACTTGATTTTATGATTTATAGTATTATAATTCTATAATTTTATGAATCAGTCAACCTATGTTTTAAAAGTTTTTTAAATGTCCTTTTATATTGAATTGCCTTGTTTGTTGTATCTACATAAAAATTGTATCTAAGCAATTGAAAAAATTGTAAGAAACCTGTCAACCAGTTTGGGAATGACAGCAACTTTCAGTCCTGTGCTTTGAGTGTTAGTAGTTTGTTTCTGTTGGGAGTTCCTTCCATTTCTAAAACAGGAAGTTCATCAATAATTACTGCAACAATTGCAGTAATGAGATGTACATTATTATAGAAAGGTTCTGACTTTTGGATGAAGACTGTGCTGTTTCTTACACTTTGCTTACTACTGACGCTGTCAGTCATGAAATTCTCCACTTTAATCAACACATCTTAAACCACTCTCCTCAAACAGAAAAATGAGTTTCCTGTAATCTATCATGTGATGTAAAAAGAAGTTATTCCATTTTGGAAGAGCTCATCTTTTTTTCTATATTTTCTGCTCTACATCATAGTAGCCTACTTCAGTGTGTATACATTCTGTTTGGTCCCTCCTCCACATGACACTCAGCCCAGTGCTCTAATGTGGATTAACAAGCTAATAGCCCAGTTAAGCAAATTAAAGGCTTGGAAAATCTTCAACAGATTTTCACTTTGCTCTACAACAAAGTGCCATTTACCAATGCAAAATCAACTGACCGACCCTGTCATCAAATTATTTCTCTAAACAGATTACAGTAAATAATGGTCTCACATTGGTGTAGCATTCAACCCTCCTCCATTACTTGGCAGACTTCAGCAGACATTAGGATGCAATGACAGCAAAAGCCTTATTATGCCTCAAAGTGTGGCCCTCAACAGTTATCAAATACAATAAACAAAAAGTAATAGTTCTCACCTTGGTCATTACTACCTTGCGTTCTCCTCGCATGTAGTATTCTCGCCTCCATCCCTGGGTAGCATATGGGTTCCTGGGCCTTTGTAATCCCTCTGCTTCCCTGTGTGTATGTGTGTGTGTGTGTGTGTGTGTGTTTGTGTGGATCTTGGGCTAAACATTAAGCGGCTCTGTGTTATCAGAGTGAGACAGTGATGTCTCTGTCACAGGCTGAGGTTGTGAACCAAGGGAGGGACCCAGGAAGCAAACCTAGACCACCTGAGGAAAATATTTCTGAAATACCAATAGCAGTATTGATCTCACGGTGGGAGACTGTGGCTGCGTTAATAGTTTATTCTAAGCATACAGTAAGTGTGCAACTGTGTCGATATGTTTGGAGGTTATCAGTAAACCACAGTAGCTGGGTGTGTCAGGGAAGCTGCCCGGATAACAGAACTGATTGTGAACAGTGCATATACATGCTCTTTAATTCTTAAAAACAATTGTATAACAATTGATTTTAAAACAATGTGTTGTATTTTGGACATTTGCAGGGTCATATTTCAAACAAAACAATAGTTCTACTGCATAAATATTTGTATATAATATTTCTGATTTGCCCTGGATTCTGTATTTGTCTCGTGGGAAATTTTTATTTTTTCTGGCTTTAAATTTTTTTTTTAATAATTAAAAAGAAAAGGTAGACAAAATACTAGACTAAACTATTTTACAATATTTTTTATTGTTTTTTTTTAATGAATTTATAAAAAAACCCACAAACATTATCATTTATCATTTTTGTGATGTGTTCATGTTGCAAAGTTATTGTAGGTCTGCATATTGAGATATGTGCCTTTGTACAGGTACAGCACATATGCCATTTTTTCCCAAAGCATTCATTTTATGTTTTGCATAAATCGATAAGTAGATAAAAAAATGCAATATTAGATTAATATTTAATTATATTTGTTTCACATTGATTTCTGTGTGTTCGTTCTGATTATTTAAGCAGCTGAACAGGTGAACATGCAGTAAAAAGATTTATGACACCATATAAAGATTATTATTAGTCATTCACCTGCAATTATAAAAATGAGTAACTAGAATTTATTCACTAAGCACTAAAAGCTGCGCCAACACATACATAGATTCTGTATATATATGGATGCAGAGCTCTACCAGTACAGTTTCACACATGCACAGCATACAGTCTAACCATAAAGTGTCCCTGAGAACAGATGTCAGTCCTGACATGGTGTCACTGCTGGGCTATGTGTGTTTGTTTTGTGTGTACTCTAATAAAACAGTTCAATGAATGGCAGACCTCTAGATCAGAGTCCAGTGATTCTGGCAAACACACTTTCGGGGCTGGGGAGGGGGACTGCACCGCTGTATGGGAGTCAATGACCATAAAGTTATCAAGCTGACAAAGGTTGGACTCTTCACACAGCCGTGAGCTGGGCTGACTCTGTGTGTGCTGCATTGTTGTATGCTGAATTGTCACCAAAGAAAATTTGGTTAGGGAAATTAGTATTCTCTCTCTCTCAGAGAGCACAGGTTGACTTTTCATGTCACTCAATGCTGAGTCGGTCTGGTATGGTAAACTGAATGGACCTAAATTAGATTGAAATTAACTGACATGAACAAAGATGAGATGTGATGAGAGGAGATGAGAGATGACAAGATATGAATCCCAGTGAGATCAGGGGATGACATAACATGACACGAGACTGGTCAATTTGGACAATTTTAGGTGAGACAGATGAGTCAGGTGAATATGGGATGTATCAAGATTAAGTGAGATGTGAGAAGATGAGAGACGACACAGGCCTGATCATGATGCAGAAGGGGACGGTGCTGAGTCATGTGTGTTGACTCACATGACTGTGAAAGGGTCAGTGGTTAGGTTTAGGCAACAAAACTGCTTGGTTAGAGTTTGAAAAAGATTGTGATTCAAGTGACTAACCTGTCTAACAACTCACGTGCCTAATGGCTTACCAGACAAAAGAACTCAAAGGTGACTTTTAGTTTTACATCAGACACGAACATCAGTCTCCTGGGTCCAAGTCCTGTGCTTGTTGGACCCATCCACCTCTCCTCCTGCCTGCCCTATAAGTGAGTTCTTGCACTCTCTATACATCATCTGCTGCTCTGTCTAATAATGACATGAATAATTTTACATCAGAGTTGATTGAGAGCCCAGTGCATCTTATATGGATGCTAAAGGGTGCCCCTCAGCGTCATTATGGTGACACCGGGGACACTGTCCAAGCAGCATATTTTGATATCCTGGTAATGAGACCATGCTGGATATTCAGTATGGTGATTTACCTATACACCAATCTGGCAAATGCTTTGTGTGTTCCACCATCTTGTAGCGCCACCATTACTGTGGTGGCAAGTTGCAGTGCCTGCTGCTGCCTGCTGACACTAACAGCAGCAAAGGTTGTCAATATTCTAAATGATCTCAGCTGATTGTTGACAAACTTTGGTTTAAAATGTAGACATTATTATTGTCTGCAAAATAAGAGTTTCCCATGATTTGAAATAAAATGACTCCTTCTGAACAGGGCCGTACGCAGGATTTTTGAAATACAGAGGTCATTTAGTCGTGATGCACGTGGGGGGGTCAGAAATTTTTGTCAATTATATTTCAAAAGCCTTCAATCTGGTGTACTTTGTTTTTTAAGAGGCTACATCTATAAAGAACTACACACATCATATTAGATTAATCCCATTTTATCATGTTTCTCTTCCCACTTCATACTATAGCGTAATTGCCTTTCACCAAACTTTGTTTGTGGGTATTTATAATTATGTTTGAACCACTTATTCTTTAGCAGGAAGTACTTCTCATCTGTCAGTTGTCAGTTATATTAATTTTTATATCAATGAAAAAAACAAATCTGTGTTACTAAATTCTTACATTTTTACATGTATCTCACCATGGCAAGTTGGAAGTTGACATATTCTGCCATATATGAGACTCTCTGAGACTCTATATAGGAGACTCTCTGGAATCTGGCAATATAAGAACCATGATGCTGTGCTGGGACATTCTGTCACTTCACAGCTGTCCAAAACATGTAGTGCGCTGGTCTTGTCATACAAAGTTTGATTGAGTGACAACTGGAGAATATGGAGTTATTTGCATCTTGAAAGCCGGACTACAAATGTGGATAGACAGGGAGAAACACACGCAAGTCTAAGACGTGGTAAGATACGATATTCCTCACTATATGAAGTGACTGATAACAAGATCTGTATAATGGATTGTAAAGAAATTTGTCACGTTTTTATTTTGTGGACAATTGATCTGTATTTAGAGCGTGATGGGATGACAGCACAATGATGTGTGTGGTATCCTCGGAAAGCTCTGGTCCTGCTCTTTCATATGATATGTGTGGCATTTCTGTGTGACCCTGCATTCGTGAGTAATCTATCTAAGAATAATGTGTGTGCAAAGCTGTATGAAAGCTGCGTCGATCAAACAAGATTACCAGAATTTTCTTTTTTAAATAATTGTTATTATAGAGAAGAGAGAGTCACTCAATCACCTTCCATCGGCCCTCCCGCGTACTTTCACCGCACAAATGAAATGGTTTATTTTTATTTTCATTTTATTCATTCATTTAGGTCGGGAAAAAATACCGAGGTCATGACCTCGGTGTCCTCAATGGTAGTTACGGCCTTGCTTCTGAACAAAGAGCTGCTGGTGTTCAGTTTAACAATTGTATTAACTGGTGACTTAAAGCCAAATGCATCTGTGGATTCTCTTAGTAACTTAGGTAAATGGTTGGCGTAGACAATAAACAAATTGATTAAAGTAAAATTAAAGGCACTTATGAGGACACCTACATGCTCTGTTTGTAATTTCAACAGCTGCCGTCACTATGAGCAACCACGATGCATTCTGCAGAGTGACCAGTTAACTGGTTAAACGGAAACACTGGACACCATTGCACGTGTTCTGTTTGGGATGCCAACTGAATGATGTTTAATTTATGGTCACTGCGTCAAATTATGTTTCACAATAACACAACAATTAGTTGATGACTTTATTCTGTGGGACCACTGCAACCCGTAGACAGTAATGTTAGCCCACTAGCGTTAGCTAAGCAGTGTTAACATAGCTGATGTTACTTGTTTCACAGTCAGTTTGCCACTGTTGGAGCAGCAGAGAACTGCACAGGTTCTTTCTGATTTTTCAAAAGTAACATTGTATACAAAGTAAGGGTAGAAGTAGAAAATTATACATGACTGAGGACAGTTTGCATTCAAATGTGCATATGTAGGATATGTATGTATGTATGTATATATATACCTATGTAGCATAGGTATTGTACTGTAGGGAGACTTCACCACAGTATTGATGACTTCCTCAGATTTGTCTATAGATTTGTGGATTTACTGGATAATATTAACACATACTATACAGAAGATACAGATGTATCACTGAACTTGTTCAATAATTACAGTTTTTTTTATGTAAACATAAGTAAAAGTATGGATGTAAGTGTGTGTCACCTCCACCAACAATATATCTCTGTCAACAAATAACTATCTTGCAATCAATTAATTAATAATTAATTAATAAATAGGCTAATATGTATTTATCCATACAACATTCCCTGACAAATTGTATCCCACATAAAGGTATAAAACGCAGAATGAGATGGTGTTACAAATGAGCTTTTGTGGGGAATTTTGATGATCTCAAAAGCCAGAACTGATTGTATCACAGATTCCACAGAACCACCAGGAGCCTCGTGCTACAACAAGCCCTCGGAGGATGCCAGGTCTTTATACAGGGAATGTCACCAGGATCATGAATCAGTTGGTCATATAAGCCTGAGATCTGCGACATCATATCTGCTGAATGCAGCGATAAAACACACAGTTTTGATTTTTCTGAGAAGGAAGGTGTTCGGGTCTTTCAGAGAGAAGTCAGGATTTCGCTGCTGACCACCGGTGAGTGCTGATATTTTAACTTTTTCCCTATTCTGTTCATTTTGAGTTTTGACCTTTAAACCCTGTTAACTCACACAACCTAGTTTTTCTATAGTAGGTGTATCTCATCACTAGCATTACAATATGAAGATGGTTAAACATACAATGTTTTGTAATACACTCAAAAAAGTTTGGACGCTGTGTAAAACATCAATAAAAATAAATGCAATGATTTGCAAATCCTTTTCTAAATTGTATACACTATAAATACAAGATATTTGATGTTCAAACTAATAAAATGTAAACTGTTATTGTAAATACAACTGTGTTACATCCTTTCCTTTTAATTTTAATTTCCTTTTACTTTTTAAAGTAAAATTCTTTCCAATTCTTGATTGATACATGACTTCAGTTGCTCAACAGTCCGAGGTCTTTGTTGTTGTATTTTGCACTTTCACATGTGCCACACATTTTCAACAGGCGACAAGTCTGGACAGCAGGCAGGTCTGGTGCTCGCACTCTTTTGCTACGCTGTTGTAACATGAAGAATGTGTCTCATTGTCACTGAATAAGACGTTGTCCGATGGGATTATATGTTGCTCTAAAACCTGTACTTCCAGCATTCATGGCGCCTTCTCAGATGCACAAGTTATATATGCCATGGGCATGACAAACCACCTAACACACCCCCATACCATCACAGGTGCTGACTTGAAACTTTGAGCTGGTAACAATCTGGATGGTCCCTTTTCCTCTTTATCCTGGAGGACACAACGTCTGTGATTTCCAAAAACAATCTGAAATGTGGACTCACCCGACCACAGCACATTTTCTTGGGTCCAGAGAAGTAGGCGCCGTCACTGGATATTGTTGATAAATGGCGTTCACTTTGCATGGTAAAGTCTTGATTTGGTCAAAGTTCACAGGTATTTGATGTTTTCATCCTAGCCCCTTACATGCAGATATTTCTCCAGATTCTCTGAATCTTTTGATGATATTATAGATTGCTGATGATAAAATCCATAAATTCTCTGCAATTGTGCATTGAGAAAGGTTATTCTTAAATTGTTGGACTGTTGCCAATTATGTTTTTTAGCGAAGTGGTGAATCTTGCGCTGTCCTTGCATGTGATCAACTGAATCTTTAAGGATTCTTAATCCTTTATTGCCCCTGTTACAACTTTTTGAAACTTGTTGCAGGCATCAAATTCAGAATGGGTGTATATTTACGCACGCACACACACACACACACACACACACACACACACACATCATAGGAAAAAGCTTAATTCTGTTATAACTGTTGCTGTTAGAATTGCATGTAGGTGGATTTTGTCACCTCTGGGCAGAGCCAGACTAACTGTTTCCCCCTGTTTTTGGTCCTCATGCTAAGCTAAGCTAATTGGTTGCTAACTGTAGCTTCACACTAACTATATAGATACAGTAATATCTTCCCATCTTACGCTTGGCAAAAAAGCAAATAAGTGTATTACTGTAACATGTACATTTACAGCTATTCATTTGGCAGATGCTTTTGTCCAAAGTAACATACACATGAGATTCAGTCTAAGTCACAGTAGATCAAGGAGAGGCCATTGATAATATATGCTGGAACACTCAGTTGCATGTTTTCCCACAATGTCAAAACTTCTGCTTTAACTAATTGATCCATGTAATATTAAGGTCTAAAACACTTTTTCTCTCTGTTTCTCTCCTCCTTGGAAATTTCCAGAAGATCTGCTGAACATAAGGACCAGTGGAAAAGAGAGATAATACTCCATTCATACTCAGAATGAATTTGGTGAATGGTACCACCGAGGGAATAAATGAAACTAACCCTTTCCTGCATTGCCAATCCACCCAAAACCCTGCACCTGTGTTCCTGGGTATTGTCATGATCACTGACATGATTGTGGGCCTGCCAGCAAGCATAGTTGCTTTGTGGATCTTCTGTTTCCGTATGAAATGTTGGAAACCCCACACTCTGTTCCTCTTTAACCTGCTTCTAGCTGACTTCCTGCTCCTCATCAGCTTGCCCTTCCGCATCCACAGTGACCTCCTAAATACCTATTGGGTGTTTGGACAAATCTGGTGCCGCATCAACCTCTTTATGCTGGCTGTCAATCGCTCTGCCAGTATTGCATTCATGACAGTTGTGGTGCTGGATCGCTACTTTAAAGTGGTCCATCCGCATCACTGCATCAGCCACATGTCTTTAGCTCAGGCAGGTTGGTTCGCAGGCCTGATATGGACTGTTGTGATCGCCCTTCGGATTCCACTGGTGACAACCAACCTCCTCTACCAGAATGGCAACATCTCTCTGTGTCGCAGCTTTAACTCCTACAATGAAGAACCCTGGCCAATAAAGGTACACTACGTGGCTTTCATTGCAGAGTTCTTCTTGCCCTGGTTTTTGTTGCTGTTCTGCTCAGCCCTGATTGCCTGCTCTCTGCACCAACGGCGGATGGTCAGGCAGAAGAGGGTGCGAAGGGCCATCCGAGCAGTAGGGGTGATCAGTTTGGTGTTCACCATCTGCTTCATGCCAAGTATCCTCACAGGCTTGGGTGGGATATACATCCGCTATTTCTACCCCAAGGACTGCCCATCCTACAATCTGATTTCCCAACTCTTTGTGATCTGCATAGGCTTCACCTACCTCAACAGCGCTTTGGATCCGGTCATTTACTCTTTTTCTAGCTCTATGTTTCGTGATGTCCTCAAGAGCTCCATCAGCTGCCTGGGCTTCGTGAAGAAGAATACCAGACCAGCAAACAACGGAGGAAAATAATACAATATTATTTTTAATGGACAGACCGGTCCAGAACAAGGTTGCAGGTTCAACCCTCAGACTTTTTTATTCTATCATTGATTAAACTGACCCTTAAAATCAAGAAGGCCTTATGACCCCCTGTGAAGCTTTGGCGAGGGCGGGACCCCCAGTCTTATAACAAGTGCTGGAGGTAACCCTGAAACAAAATGGTGCCACTGTTAAATGATTTAAATTACTATATGTTAGTCTGGTTAATGCCAATAGATCGATGACAGGAATGCTGCATGGGAATGCCCTGCACAGTTCTGTGTCTGCAAGTATCGGCCATCACTGTATTTTTGGAGGAAGCTTTGTTATAACATCCGTAACGTCAGATACACAGACCAGTGGAGTTCCTGCAAATGTTCCTTGTTTATTTTCAAACTGTGTGATGTGGACATGAATGTCAATAAAAGCAGTAACATGCAAGTGTGTGTTGTACTTTTATAAATATAATAATAACAATCATAATACATTTTATTAATAGGAGCCTTTCAAAGCACTCAGGGACACATCACAAGACACAGTTTAAAACAAGCAGAAATATAGATCATAGATTATAGATTCAGACAATTCAGTAATATATGGTAATAGTACAATTGCTAGACAAAATCACAGTGTAGTTATAAAACTAGCTATAAAATCATTATTATAAAATCATTATCAATGCAAGTCTTGATGTGTGTGTCAATCAGAACGAATATGCAGCTGGAGAAGGTGGTTTTTCAGACAGGATTTGAAGGTGGAAAGGGAATTAATATTGTGAATGTTACGTCAGTATACTTCAATACTTTATATTGCTTATATTTTCTACTTATATTGGTCATATTTATCTTTGAACATTTATTATCTCTTACATGCCTTATTGTATTTGTAAATTTGTGTTAAGATTTAATAGTATGACCATCTAAAGATGACACATTTGCAATTTCATTATACTCGAATCTTAATTTGTTGGCATTCATTGCATCTAATTTTTTCTATACATGATGCCTGGTAATGCTATTGCCAGAGGTGTGATAACGAAGGGTTGACAAACATTTTATATTAAATATTACCAAGGAAAAATACACATAAATATATATTTGGCTTACTCAAATGTGTCCTCTCTTGTACATTCAGTTTCATTTTGATTAGGAAAGGTGTGTGGACATATGTAGTTGATGTTAACCATTCAGAACAGAGAAAGATGTAGTGTAGTAAAATGAGCGAATCACAGAAAAGGACTTGGACATGGAATGGCCAAATAACACCTCATTACTATTGGTGCAGGTAATAAACTCATGGCTGCTCTTTCTTAATAACTATTATTATAATTATTTTTGACAGTACACTTATAACTTAAGCAAAACATCTGCACAAGACTGTGTCCTGTGTAGGAGTGTCTGCTGTTACCATGCATACTTTTACACTTGATTGATGTGTGATTACAAAACACTAACTGATAAATAGAGATAGATAGATAGATAGATAGATAGATAGATAGATAGATGGATGGATGGATATTTCATCATTGAGCTGTATTGAGACAGCGGAGTTGGATGTGACATGTGTCTTTGAGATTTTACTTCTTGTGCAAGAATGTAAGTCATGTTTTACTTTGAAAATATTAGGGACAGTCTGTGTTTCCGGGTGTCTCTCAGTAGCAGCGAGCATGACATCATAGACTCAGCCTTCTCATCCAAGCCCAGCTGCACGAGCAGCAGAAAGTAATGCGGAAGGACATGAAAAACTAACGTTACTGATTATTTTACCACAACTTCAAATGTGCTATTACTATTATAACACTGTTCGCATTAATATTGGCTTGTTTTCTGCTCGCTAACGCTGCTGACGAGTTATGAAAGCGCTTTGTGTAATAAATCAGCAGTAGCTTCACTGTTATTCAGTCCGTTATTGTCCTTCCGTATGGTGAGATCAACGTAAACAGAAACGTTTGTGTGGAGCTAGTGCGGCTGCATTAAATGAACAGAGACAAATCAAAGAATACATATCCAATTGTCTCAGTATTCCATGTTTAAAAACCCAACTGCGGAATAAACACAGTGAGCTCCAGTGGCGCAATCGGTTAGCGCGCGGTACTTATATGACAGTACACTGTAGAGCAATGCCGAGGTTGTGAGTTCGAGCCTCACCTGGAGCAGCTTTTTGATATACTATGTATGAATGTTTTAGGTGAATATAGGCTACTGCATTTTGTATTACAAATACTAGAAATCCTACTCTCAAATTCTCAAAATTTGGTGTCTCATTGTGACTAAATGATACTTTAACAATATGTACAAGTATATAGTTTGAAATATGAGGTACAAAGACATTCTTAAAAATACATGACAAAGCAATAGAAACTGGAATTAAAGAAAGACATTTTAAACATATTGGGAGGGTATGGAGTATTTTATTCATCATTATTGAAATCCACATTTGTTTAACCAAAGAGGATGTTTTACACATAGCCTAATTTCTATTCATAGTTTTTAACAAACCTGAAAACAAAAACATACAGTAGTAACATGTCATGTCAGATATGACTCCTAAAAATTAAGATGTATTTCAGCTTTACCGAAAACAGGGGGCAGTATCTCTCCATCACTGTAAACACCCAGTCTTAGGAAGTGTGGTGAAAAAACATGTCACTCGCCCTTACAGTAGGTGATATGCTGACTTGCATCATATAATAATAATAATGATAATGATTAACAAATGGTTTAAAACATATAATACATTTGTAGATATTAAGTCATACATTTTGCATGATGCAATTTCAGATCCATTCTCAAATATTTTAAGATGGATATCATGTCTCACAGGCTATCATGCCCCAAAATCTTATTTTTTAAGTCATAGATATTAAAGTCATGATTTATTGATTTTTTTTTGTAAATTTGACATAGGCAGAGTCCAGACATTGCATGCCTGCTTCTTTTTCTGGCTTCAAACAGTTTCCAGGAGTCTAAATTTATTCACTTGAAAATACAGCAATGGTAAAATTAATTCTTTAAAAACTATGATATGGTTTAAACCTTCTGGGAATACTGCAAAATAATTCTCATGATGATAAGATAAGGAGTCAGTCTGAAAGAAAAGTGTTAATAATGTTCAACAAACTATTGACTTGACATGACACTCTGCTGTGTTACCACTAGGTGACGTTGTTGTCCACTTTTTGGACGTGCTGTCTTTTTTTTTTTTTTTTTCTTCCCTGACACAGATGTGACTGCTTGAATGTGACTGGCTGTGTCTGCTGTTTGAATGAAAACAGTTGGTTTGCTCTTCCCTCTTCTGCACTCTGTGTATTCTGTGTGTGCTCTCGTCTCTTACACATTCAGTTACATTTTATACAAGCCAACTTTATTATCTGGCGGGAACTGCTGCGAGACGTGCACATATGGATGTCTGAACGATTTCCTTTTTAATTCATGTCGATGAAAATGTGCTTTTTGCACTGTGGCCTCTGGTTGCTCCTGCATATTTAAACGTTAAACATGCAGAATTCATTTTTCATATATTGCCATGCTACCCATTAAAATACTTGAGAGCAGTGTAGGCGGAGGAGAGTTGTGGGGATATGAATGGTATTATGTATGCATGAATGGAAAGACAGATGGATATGATGTGATGCAAACCTCAATTCAACACACACATACGTGCATACAAATACACACTGGTTTCAACAGTCTTAACCCCAAGGAGGATGAGTAAGATGCATGTCATTGCCTATCACAAGCTGAAGAACAGGACTAATGTAGAAAACATGGTCTGCTTGGAGACTTCGACTTGCTCCATAATGATCACTTGAGGCCAGCTGCAATGTGCATGAGATCATTTCGCAAAAAAAATGTGTGTGTGTGAGTGTGTTTTTGTGTGAGTGTGCAGTACTCCATTACTCAATCAAGTAAGCAGTATTTATAGTTTACTTCCAGTAAGTGTGGGAGGGGAAAAGCTCACTGTCAAGTCATTATGTGTCTAATCTGATCTAAAAGTCAAAGAGTAAAGTGTGAACTGTTATCATTTTAAGATAACAGCGATTAGCATATTTCTGGCTTTCTGGTGAATTACTCTGCATTAATTTATGCTGGAAATTTCTTTTTTTTTTTTTTTTAAGATTGTTTTTTTTGGGCTTTGCCTTTAATGGATAGGACAGTGTATGAAATGGGGAGACAGAAAGAGAGCAAGGACTGACATGCAGCAAAGGGTTGCAGGCCGGACTCAAGTCCGCGACCGCTGCAGCGAGGCAATGCCTCTGTACATGGGGCCCCGGCACTATCCACTATCCTACCGACGCCCATGTTGGAAATTTCTTAAAAAGGTAGTGTATATAAATGACAGCTATTTAGCCTAAGTCTGTTTGTACTGGGGGTACGTGATTTGTATATGTATATACTACAGACAGATTTTCCTCATTTACTTTTATTTCTATAGGTGTGGCCTGAGTTTATGTGTACGCTTAATTCTGAAAAGTATTTTGCTGCTGCATGTGATTGCCAGTGATTTGCAGCAGTTGTGGCATATCAAGTGTGTTTGTTAGATGCATTTAGTATCACAGCTATTTAGCTGGAAACCATTATAGAATACTTAACTTATGAGGGATACATGATTTGTATACTGGTATTCTCCCTTTTGTATATACCAATATTTCGTCATGTTATTTACATGTGGCCTTCATATGATATTGGCGTGTCATTTATTTTTTCTTTTCTCACAAGACCTTAGGGGCATTATGGGTTTTTAAGATCAGAATTTAGGACCACTGGCTTGAAATGTTACACAGCAGTAAAACCGTTCTGAGGGCTCATCCATACTCCCATTATTGAAACTTAATACAACTGTTTCAAACATAGTACAAATCACTGCCCTCATGCTTCCATGCGTCCTTTATGTTGGCGTAAATACAGGCAATAGATAGCGCTCAAGGGTGGAGTCAAAAGTGTCACACAACACCAAATGAGGTGACGGTGGCGGAGGTCGTAATAACTTAA